ATGGGGCAAACGAGGCAGGGGTAGGTCCAGAGCAACTTCCTGGGAGAGCCTGAAGTGATGGGTGATGGGGAAAGATGAGGAGAATATGTGAGGCCTGCTGACGAAATGATTTACTTCTCGCAATCCACAAACGGAGATATTGGCCAAAAATCGACACAGGGGGTCAAATTTGTAGATTTTCTATTGATGCCATATAGTAAGTCTTTTATTATTTCATACTTATAAATTGTAAAAACTTCACCTGTAAGCGTGACGTATCTCATTTCCATAGGTCTCAAATCTGAGAAGTAACTCGTTTTGTCAGCACGCTTCACGTATGTGTCATGACGCGGTGGAATCAGGCGCTCGGCAATTTTTTTTGGTCAAATTGAGTTATTGCTGTAATATGAAAGCTTGTTTATTTGTCTTGCTTTTCATGAGAAAAAAGTAGCCATCTATTTTTCTATTTTGAATAGCAATCGGGATAGTTGTGACTGAAGGAGGTTTGAGGGAGGGGGGAGGGGGTGATGGGTGATGATGATGATGATGATGATGATGATGATGATGATGATGATGATGGGTGATGATGATGATGGGTGATGATGGTGATGGGTGATGATGATGATGGTGATGGGTGATGATGATGATGATGATGATGATGGGTGGTGATAGTGATGATGATATTGATGGGTGAGATGATGATGACGATGGTGATGATGATGATGGCGATGATGATGGTGATGACAATGAGGATGATGCTGATGATGATGATGTGTTGCAAGTACTGTAAAACTCTTACTCAAACTAATCAAATCCTGTTTCAGTTTAGCCCGTCTGCCCCGGGACCCGGCCTCATCTTCAGCCACTACGTGATCTGTAACAGCACGACCTCCGCGCTCAGGTTTGGACAGGTCAGGACTACATACCACTCACTTTGGCTTACCTCAATCACGATCATGCGAGTAATGATGATAATAGTAATGATAATGATAATGATAATAATAATAATGATGATGATAATAATAATAATGATAATAATAAT